TGGTAGAGCTCTTGCCTACCGAGTATAAGGTTCTTGGTTCAATCCCTCACACCGCAAAAAAGAAAAGAAAAACAATCCTCTGTGTGGAGTGGGGAGCCAGAGAAAACAGTCTGCATGAGGGACTGTGGATCTGAGGTTCAATTAGGCTCATCTGTGAAATGGAGCCAATAACAGGCTTTACTATAGAGGAGGCATAAGAGGATTGAAAAAGACCTCACCTGCAAAGTACTTAGTGGGGAACCTAGCACATGGGAGTGCTTGAATAAGTCTTACGACTTTTCCCACTCCCTCCTCTAATAAATAAATATGATCTCTTTTGTAACAAAGAACAAAATCTCCTTTGAAGACTTGCCATTGCCTATAGGATAAAGTCCAATTTTTTTTTAAAAGCCTTGCTCATTTGAGGCAAGCCCTCGACCCCTGAGCTACAAGCCCAGACCAAAGTCCAGAATTTTTGCTGGACTCTGCAAGGCCCTGCCAGGTCCACCTGGGGCTCTCTCAGGCCTCAGCCTTCCTCTGGTTCTCCCTGCCCCCTCTCAGCAAGACTGTGTTCCCCTTCCTGCTGCAAATCTTCTCCTGGACTGTTTTCTCAGCCTTCCTTCTCCCTTCCCACCTTTTGCTGACCACTTATCATTCAGGTCCAGGGTAAACTGTACTCTCTCATGCCTCCTTGGGCTTTTTATTTCTCCATGGCTTTGCTATGTAGTTCAGGCTGGCCTTGAACTCACTATGTAGCATAGACTGACCTCGAACTTGCAGTGATCTTCCTGCCTCAGCCTCCCCAGTGCTGGGATTACAGGTGTGCGCCACCATGCCAGGCACGGCCCGTGTTTAATTGACAGCTGTAGTACTAGCTTCTAGCAGCATCTGGACAGAGGAAGAACTTGACAATGTTAATATAAACAAAGAAAAAAAGTTTCTTTTGATACTCAGAAATGAGACAGACTGCCGGGCGTGGTGGTGCCTGCCTATAATCCCAGCACTTGGGAGGCTGAGGCAGGAGGATCGTTGCGAGTTTGAGACCAGCCTGGGCTACAAAGTGAGCTCTAGGCCAGCTTGAACTGCACAGGGAGACCCTGTCTCAAAAAAAAAAAAAAAAGAGACAGAGCCAGGTGTAGTGGCGCACGCCTGCAATCCCAGCATGGGGGAGACTGAGGCAGGAGGATTGCTGTGAGTTTGAAGGCAGCCAGACCTGCATAGTGAGTTCAAGGCCAGCCTGAACTACACAGCAAGACCCTGTATTCAAAAAAGAAAAAAAAAGAGAGAGAGAGAGAGATGATGTCAGGTGTGTTGGCACAGCCTATAATCTCAACCTTCTGGGAGGCCGAAAAGGGAGGATGTAAGATTGAGCCCAACCTGGCAACTTTGTAAGACTGTGTCTCAAAGAAAAAATATAAAGGGCTGAGTATGTAGCTCAGCGTGAAGGTCCTGGGCTCAGTCTCCAGGAATGCAAAGGGGAAAAAAAAAAAAAGACAGCGAGAGACAGACACTCAACTCCTTCTGTCCCACCCCAACAGGAACCAACTATGAGGTAAGAGGAGATTTGGACACAGGAGGAAAAAATTTCGGCTGCTACATGTTTTTCTGCTGAGACATGTTTTTTAAGGACCATGGGGCATCACACAGGCCCACGCAGGAAGACGGAGCACTCAGGCACTAGAGATTTGCCCACGGTCTCCAGCCGTGGCATCCAGCGTGTATTCTGGCCACTGCTATTGTTGCCTCGGGGCTCAGCAAGAAAAAGTCAAGGCAGGAAAGTGTAGGGTTCTGGCCCTGGGTATGACATACGTGCCACAGAGCTGAAGACCTGAAAGCGCAGGCTTGTGGGATCTCAAGCAAGTCATTGCCTGTCTGTGGTCTTTATTTTCACCATCCATAATAAGAGTCTTAGATCAAGAACCCTGGTAAGCAGATTCTGAGATGGAAACTTGCGTGCAGGAGAATTATTGGGAGAATATCATAGATGGTTTGAAGCGGGCCTGGGCTAAAGGAGAAGTTGGGTTGCGATACAGCTGCAATGGAGGGCTCAGGAATCTGAAATGGGGTGCTAGAGCTGGGGTGATCTTTCAGGGCGGTTTGTCTCAAATAGAGGCAAAGGGGCCGGGCCTCTGTTCCCTTCTTGTCCACCAACCAGGCACTGGAGGCAGACTGCCTGGAGGACGTATAGCTGTGACTCCCTTCAACACGGGGCAGTCCCCAGAGGGACTCGGCTGAAGTCTGAGGAATGAATGCCACAGCCAGGGTGGCACAGCACAGTACCTGCTACCGAGGAACACAGAAGTTTCCCAACCGTTCCACAGAACCTGCAGGCCACAAGTGCCTCCCTGGTTGGGAAACTGCTCTCCTTGGTTGTGGGGTGGTTTTTTTTTTTTGGTCTTTTTAAGACAGGGTCTCGCTATGCAGTTCAGGCTGGCCTTGAGCTCACTTTGCAGCCCAGGCTGACCTCGAACTCACAATGGCTGAGGCTCCTGCCTCAGCCTCCCGAGTGCTGGGATTACAGGAGTGCGCCACCACGCCCGGCATCTCCTTGGCTGTGTTACAGCTTCTCGGAAGAGCAAACTCTACTGCTAGGCAGTCATCGCCCTGGGAGCACTTCTTATTTCTCCTTAGGCCATCCACCACAACAGTAATGTAAACCATTAGTTGAGTAATGATCCACTATCTGTCCCCTGCACTTGACAGTAAATCCCAAGAGAGCAGGAACCATGTCTATCTCCCTATCGCTGTCTCCAGGGCACAGTACATACTAGGTACACAACATCTGGTGAGTGAAAGAGCACCAGGGAGGCTGTGAAAGACCGTCCTCTCGGAGATTCTAAGACAAAAAGGGTTTGTGAAGCACTTCTGCAGATCCACCTGCCTGAGGGCTCTGGCAAAGGCCTGGAACCCGCAGGGATGACTCATGCACCTCTTCTCTACTGTCAGCAGCGCTCAGAAGCTAAACAAAAAACTCAGGCCCCTAGCAACCCCTCTCAAACTCCATCCTGCATCAATAATGTGCCAGGTCCTGGCCTGTAGACTGCAGAAGTCTAACACAGATTCATTAGATCCTATCTGGACTGGAGAACTTGTGCAAATTGAGTTCAACATGATTAAAAAAACAATAAAAAAGCAGATTGAGGGCATAGGTAGTCTGGAGGCAAATGCTACAAAGAACTGTGGAATCAGACAGAAAGGGGTACTAATTCAACCTCAAGGCCTGATCTTGGGCAAATTTCTGAGAGTCGAAAGTCTCAGTTTTTTTGGTTTGTTTTGAGACTTGGTCTCGCTATGCAATTCAGGCTGGCCTTGAGCTCACTTTGTAGCCCAGGCTGGTCTCGAACTCACAGTGATCCTCCTGCCTCAGTCTCCCGAGAGCTGGGGTTATAAGCGTGCGCCACCACACCCAGCAGAATGCCCAAAGTCTCACAAGAGTGCGGTTCCAACTACTTAAACTGTGCTGGGTGGCTTTCATGCACTATTTAATCCTTGCCCCCTTCCTGTGACCAAGGGTATTAATTCCATGAGAAACTAAGGCTAGAGAATTTAAGTCGTTTGCTGCTCACAGTCAGATAGATGTTAAATGCCAAAGCTCAAACATAAACGGGGGTCTAACTGCTAAGTCAGTATTCCCTGGATTCTCACGCATGGTCCCATTTCCACATCTGTACAATGGGCCCCACACTCCCTTTCCAAAGGACTGTCGTGAAGACTAAGTTTGAAAACATTTGCCAACAAATGTTTTCCTCTCGTGTCCCCCTAGGCCTGAGCTTTTTGTTTAGCTTCTGAGCGCTGCTGACAGTAGAGAAGAGATGTATGAGTCATCCCTGACGGTTCCAGGCCTTTCTAGAAATGTTACCTGAAGAGAAATGAAAATATTCTACCCCTAGTTTTATGGCTGAGGAAACTTGAGGCACAGTGAAATGAATCAGTCCCCCTAGGCTAATAAGTGTCTAAAAGTCAGGGCCAGAATCCAAGCTTTGTACTGTAGCTTTGGTTCCGTTTCTCATCTCCTCTCAGGTGATCTGGAAGGAGAAGCAAGCACACAGGAATACTGCAAAATGGGAGAGGTGCCTCAAGGAAAAAGGCTACATACATGCAGGCACTCACAGAAGCTTCCTGGAGGAGACTGGGTTCTCAGTTTATGCCAGCAGGATTCAGAGCAAACGGGAAGCTGGCAGAAGTCTTAGCCTTAGCTGGGCGTGGTGGCGCACGCCTGTAATCCCTGCACTCGGGAGGCTGAGGCAGGAGCATCGTTGCAAGTTTGAGACCAGCCTGGGCTACAAAATGAGCTCAAGGCCAGCCTGACCTGCATAGTGAGATCTTGTCTCAAAAATACCAAAAAAAAAAAAAAAAAAGAAAAGAAAAGTCTTAGCCTTCAGTCCTGATGTGGTTTTCCAATCACCTCACTAGTTCCTGGTGCCCAGGGAAGAAATCTGATCAAGGGCATGCAACTATAAATGACAAGGGCACAGTCTGCATCTCAGACCTTACACCTGGAAAAGGATGGAGAAGAAGGTGATCATAATGTGGAGTGGGGGACACGAGAGGAAACCTCCGGGCTGTCGAGTAGCCTCCCTCTCACCACCGAAGCCCTGTAGCAGGAAAAAAGGCCAGGCGTGATGTCAAAGCCTCAGGGTCTAATAGACCTCAGCTGGAAGCCTGGCTCCACCAATGACCTGCGATGGAGCCTCAGCAATGTCATTTCGCTTGAGTCTTAATTTCCTGGCAGAATTACTGCAGGTTCACAGAAATGGCCTTCGGGTACCCAGTCTAGGGCTTTGTCAGAAGAATAACAAGGTCATTGTTACTCCACAGTGCCAGGTCAGCCACAGATGGGTGGCAAGCCTGGATACCCAAGGGACAGAAGCAAGTTCTCAATGCCCACAATTCCATCTGCAGTCACTGGGCACAAGCAGGGGCTGGCAGGCCAGTCCATGATGCAAGCACAGCTCCCTGCTTGTGCTGGGAGGTGAACCCTGACCTTCAGGAAATTAGAAAAACAGCCCCTTAGCGAGGAATACAAAACAAAACCTCAGTGAACCTTTATTTCTCATCATACACAACTGGAGCAAGGTCAAACGTTTCAGCACTTGCACACTGGATACCCCTTCCCGCCCACCCAGGGGACACATACAGTCATTAAGTCCCCTCGGGAACTCAAACCCCCATGCTGGGACCCCTCTCCTCCTGCCAATCTTCTTCACAGGGAGGGCTTTTAGGCCTGGGGGGTTGCCAGTCGCTTCCCCATGCCCGCCTGGGTATGAAATGGGGCACAGTGGCCAGGTTCCTTTCCTGCCACCCAGGGAAGTCAAAAGCAGCAGCGCTGTGCCCTTGCCTTCCCAGGCACCTCCAAGCTGGCCTAGGAGGAGGCGCTCGCTGCCGGAAGGGCAAGAGAAGTCGCGATTCACAGTTGTTTGCTGCAGAAAGTGCTTGGGTCAGTCCTTCGCTGCTTCTGCCTCTAAGCAATCCACCTACATTCCAGGAGAAGGGACAGGTGCTGGGCTAAAGGTGAGGTTCTTGGAAGGCAGCCAGGAGACTGACTGCAGGGGTAGGGAGCCTCCAGAGGCCTTCAGAACCTTGCAAGAAAGCCAGTTCGCTATCGAGCTGAGATCCCAGGGTGGAGCATGGGATGCTGGGAAACTCGGAAACCACCCCTCAGTCCGCCACTGTGGTGGTCCAGGGCGTTTGGCAATGTCACAGCCACTCAGTCAGCGGTAGGGGCCAGACAGGAGCCCTGGCATCAGCTTCCCTTACTGGGCTCTGGTGCCCTGTCAGCCACTCAGAAGGGCTCAACATTTTGGCAAAAGTGCTTAGCACAGGAGGGTGGGCACCGGCCTCGGCTGCCTGGGAGAACAGGACCTCCCTCTGCTCCTCACAGGCGCTGATCGCGTTTCAAAGGCGAGGCCCTGAGGAGGCCTGATCTCAACCACACAGGACCCGAGTACAGATCAGTTACCTCTGAGTACTCCCTCCTCTTCAGAAGGCAATGTGGCCGACAGAGGCTCCTGCTCTAGAGAGTCTGCTCTTTGGATGTGTTTGGCCCTCTCCTGGGGTCTCCCACCACTGGGTGTGAGCGAAAGGGTTACAGGAGTGAAGAGGTAAAGAACTGAAGTAGGATTTCGGCAAGCATGGAACGGGGGCATGGCGGGGCCTTTAGGCTGCCCAACAAAAAAGGCTTTTGATAGACTGGGCGCACAGACCAGCTGTGACCAACTTTCACATTGATGGGTGAGTGGCAGGTGGGAGGTAATGAAATGAGAACGAGGTGGGGAGGGAGGGCAAAGCTGCCTGGAGTGCCAGTCTCTGGAGCTCCTTGTCCCTCTCCTAGAGGCCAGCCAGGGACTTTGCAGTCCAGGAGGGCCATAGCACTCATGGTGCCTGGGGCCTGGCCGGCCGGCATGAAGGTCCGAGTGTGGCTCATTCCCCTTCCTGTGCCTTCCGCTCTGGGGGCAGGGAAAGGAAGGAGGGCATGGCCCTTGGGATCTCCTAGTCCTCTTCCAGGTCCCACGGGGAGAGCTGAGATCCCAGTCAGTCAGTGCAACGATTCTGTCCATCCCAGACAGAGGAGGAGGGCGTGGTCGGGGACTGCACATCACACAAGCCCGCCCCCTCGGCGGGGTGCACTGGCCTGGGGCAGAGAGGGTCCTGGGCCTGTCTCCAGACAGAGAAGTCCTTGCAGGGAGTAGGGTGCCCCCAGGGTCAGCTGCTCCGGGTGTGGGTCCTGCGTGGGAGGGAGTCAGGTCATATAGCGGGTGATGGCACGGAGGGCGTACAGCAGGGCGGCTTGCATGCGGGCTTCCAGGAGCAGCAGGTTCACGTGGACCTGAGACACAGACCAGGGGGCTGTTGACAAGTGATCTGCAGCCCTCTCAGACTGCCGTGCCCTCTGACCCCTCAGCTCACCCTTCCTAATCCCCACACATATACCCTGACTTTTGCAGAGCAGTTTGGTGCAATGAGTGCTGAGGAACTTCCAGCACATTCTTCTCTATCACCCCTCATCTTTCCATCCCACGGAGCTACAAGAGTGAGCACTCCCTGGCACCTGCATCGGATCAGGGGTTTACAGTTATCTTCTAATTTCATCCTTCCAACAACCTTGAAATGCAGGGAGTGTTTACTCTTACTAGAAAGCGGAAAAGTTCCGAGAAGCGAAGGAAGCAAGGACCCACGTTTCAGCTTCCCAGGTGCATAAATGGCTTCTGAAATCAATAGCAGAGCAAGACTTGAACTCAGGACAACATGTCCAGTTGTAGCCACTGGCAGTACAGACTCTGGGTCCCGCCCCCTTTCCTCTCTACTAGCTGAGCCTGTCTGCTTCCTCCCTGCTCCTCCCTCCAAGGCTGCTACCTTCTCTGAGTGGCGGAAGTGCCTCCAGAAGAGGTTGTACATTCTCCGGGTGGTCTTCTCTGGGTAGCAGGCCACGGTCTTGATATAGACCTTGAGATTCCGCTCCAGGAGCTGGTTCACCTCCCCGTAGTCATAGTCATCGTATCTGGATGAAAAGACCCCCACAGCATTACTCACCCTCTGCCGCTGGAAGCTGCTCCTCCCCACATCCCCACCCTACAGCAGAAGGGACAGAGTGGGAAGAAACACCACAAGGTGGGAAGCAGTAAGAAGCCTGGTTCCTCTTAGCAAAACAGCTGCTATTTGCTGGGTGTGGTGGCGCACGCCTGTAATCCCAGCACTCAGGAGGCTGAGGCAGGAGGATCGTTGGGAGTTCGAGACCAGCCTGGGCTACAAAGGGAGCGCAAGGCCAGCTTGAACTGCATAGCGAGACCTTGTCTCAACAAACAAACAAACAAACAAACAGCTGCTATCATGTATTCCAGGCCAGCGGACTTGCAAGAGACCACCCCAAGGATGCCCAGGAAATGAGCCCACTGTCCCCTTATCAACTGTGCGCCATGTGGATGTGTCCTCCAACTCCTCTGTACCCTGGTACACAGCTCTGCATCCTGAACACTGTACTCATCGACCCACTTTACACTTGAGGGAACTGAAATTCTGAAGTCACTTGCCCTATGTCAGACAGCAAAGAATGGGTTTCAAACCCAAGCCTGCCGGGCTCCGGGGCTTATCTGCCACTTTACACTAAAAGAGGCCGGTGTACATTTGCCTTGGAGAAGATGATAAGGGTAAAGTGGAGCTACTACTGTAGTCAGTTTATGCCTGGAGAAGGCAATTAACTTGTTTAAGGTCAAAAAGCAAACTGATGACCAGTCTAGAAGCTTCTTTGTTGCAGCCCAGCCCAGCCAGCTTCACAGACACCTTCATAGGTCAGGGTGGGTGGGAAAGCCAGGGTGGAGACATCTGCACGGCACATAACTGGTAGTGGGACAGCGGGGAAGGAGGGAGGGCAAGGGAAGAAGGGCCAGGTAGGCGAGCGAAGAAGCCTACACCCGGAGCTCGCCTGCTGCACACTCCCAGATGCTACCTTGCCACCCTGAGTTGGAACCCTGTAATGATCATTGGCACTTGGTATAAACTGTTAAATGAAAAAACTGCCAGGCATGGTGGTGCATGTCTGTAATCTCAGCACTTGGGAGGCTGAAGCAGGAGGATCACTTCGAGTTCAAGGACAGCTTGGGCTGCATAGTGAGCTCAAGGCCAGCCTGAACTGCATAGTGAGACCCTGTCTCAAAAAAGACCAAAAAAAAAAAAAAAAAAAAAAAAAAAAAAAAAAGAAAGAAAGAAAAACTCATGTTCACTAACCTCACTCATGTTTTAGTAAAGTAAGCGACACAAGCAGGCAAGAAAATAGGAACAGATCTTCTTTTGATAAAATTATGTATGCTTTGGCTAGTCATGCATAGAAAAAAGACAGGGGGCAAATATTTGACGGTAAGTGCAGGTGGTGTCATGGGTGACTTTTTTTTTACTTTCTGGTTTTTGCACTAGGCAAATACCTCACCACTGAACTGCATTTCCCAGTCCTCACAGGTAGCTTTTAGGTTCTTACTTTCTTTTGTCTGTTATCTGTGTTCTTTCTCCCTTCTCCCTCGCTTTCTCTGTAGTGCTGAGGCTGGAGGTTGAATCCAGATTCTCCAGCATGGTAAGTAGCACTCTACCCCTGAGCGACAACCCCAGCTCTGTGTTTATTGAGTTCCCTAACAATCAAGCTATTTGCTTCTCTTTGCAAACATCTAACGTGGTTTTTCAATATATTCTTGAGATGAAATTATTATAATTTCAACTATAAAAAAAATGAATACATAAGAAAAAAGTAATGGAATAGCCAGGCATGGTGGTGCATGCCTGTAATCTCAGCACTCGAGGGAAGGCTGAGGCAGGAGGATTGTTGCAAGTTTGAGACCAGCCTGGGCTACAAAGTGAGCTCAAGGCTAGCCTGAATTGCATAGCAAGACTCTGTCTCAAAAAGACAAAAAAAAAAAAACAAAGAAGTAATGGAGAAAAAAATCTCAGGATATGAATATTGCTGTGGTGTATCAGAATTTAGGGAAAATTATTTTTTGCCTCAATTATTTGAATTCTGACAATATTATCAAAGTGAGATTTTTAAAAATTAAAATAACTGTCCTTGACAAGTAATTTCATATCTAGGATTATCTTCAGAAACTTATTTTTGTTGTTGTTTTTTAAGAGAGGGTCTTGCTATGTAGTTCAGACTGGGCTTGAACTTACTATGTAGCCCAGGGCTGACCTCAAACTTGAAGCAATCCTCCTGCCTCAGCCTCCTGAGTGCTGGGATTACAGGTGTGCACTACCATGCCTGGCTACAAGAACTTTTAAGACTAGTCAAAGTATACAGTGTAAGAATGAAATATTGCAAATAATCCAAATATCCAACAAGGAAAAGATTAAATAATTATAGCCAGGCATGGTGGCGCACGCCTATAAGCCCAGCACTTGGGAGGCTGACGTAGGAGGACTGCCATGAGCTTGGGACCAGCCTGGGCTACATAATGAGTTCAAGGCCAGCCTGAACTACATAGCGAGACTCTGTCTCTAAAAGAAAAAAAAAAAGATTATCATGTATCTATAACTGAATACTACCTATTGGCTAAAAAGCACTAAAAGAGCTATTACACTGATAAGAAATGTAGCTCATACTACATTATCAGGTGAAAAAACCCAAATTACAGAATATATCAAATATTGGGGCTAGGGATTTAGCTCAGCAGCACAGCACCTGCCTGGCAAACGCAAGGTCATGAGTTCAATTCCCAGTACCAGAAAAAAACAAACCAAAAAAAAAAAAAAAAACCCCCAAAATATATCAAATACGATCTTATCAATTAAAGAAAAACCTACCCCCCCAAACCAGAAAAATGCTGGGTTTGATGGCACATACTCATGTAATCCCAGCATTTAGGGAGGCTGCGGCAGCAAGATAGCAAGTTTGAGTCCAACCTGGGTAACTTAGTGAGATCCGATCTCAAAATATAAAATAAAAAAGGCTGGGCTGGGGATTTAGCTCAGCGGCACAGTGCCTGCCTGGCAAGTGCAAGGTTGTGAGTTTGATTCCTGGTACTGGAAAATAAAATAAAATAAAATAAAATAAAATAAAATAAAATAAAATGAAATAAAATAAAATAAAATAAAATAGGCTG